ACGATTTTCTGAAATCGTGTGAATAAGAAAAACGGTAAAACAGGTTTTATCTAACAATCTCCTCCTAAAACCTGTAGTATATCTACCTTACTATTTGAACTCCGATCTTTGAGCGTAGTTCTTCAAATTTCACCCGCGCCAGGGACTTGGTGAAGATGTCTCCAAGTTGTTCCTCTGTTCGGATGTAATCAATTTTGATGAGCCCTCGATCTGCACATTCTCGAATGTAGTGGAATCTGATTTCTATGTGCTTGCTTCGTTCATGCAAAACTGGATTTTTGATCAGGGAGATCGTAGCTTTGTTGTCTACGTATAGCATTGGTGGATCACTTTCTCTCCCGATGAGTTCTTCCATTAGTCGCGCAAGCCAGATCCCTTGTGTTGCTGCCATCGAAGCGGCGATGTATTCTGCTTCACATGAAGACAAAGCAACTACCTTCTGTTTTGTTGATTGCCAGCAGATTGCGCCGCCTGAGAGAAAGTAGATCATTCCGCTAGTGCTCTTACGATCATCAACGTCACCGGCCATGTCACTATCACTGTAGCCAACTAGCTTGAGTTTCTCCTTTCCGCTCCCTGCGCAGTATCTTATACCCCAGCCTCTGGTTCCGGCTACATAGCGCAGGATGCGCTTGACAGCCGCTAAATGCTCCTCCCTAGGTGCTTCCATAAACCGGCTCACATATCCAACAGAATAAGCAAGATCAGGACGAGAGTTTACCAGATAGCGTAGACTCCCGACAATGCTGCGGTAATTGGTGGAGTCGACTGTCGTCGTAGTGCCAGCCTTCCTTAGTTGGAGTCGGGCCTCCATTGGCGTCCTTGTAGGATTACTGTCCACAAGTCCAGTTGTGTCCAGCAGCTTCTTTGCGTATGCACTTTGGCAGATGGAGATGCCGGTAGAATTCTGTTGCACTTCGATGCCGAGATAGTAGCTGAGCACGCCGAGATCGCTCATCTCGAAGTTTTTCGACATCTCCTTCTTGAACCTTCCGAGGACTTCCATGTCACCTCCAGTGATTATGAGGTCGTCGACGTACACTCCCACGATTAGTCGCTTCTTGTCATGGCCGTGCGTGTACATGCCATGCTCAGAGGCGCAACGTTTGAATTTCAGTGACAGTAAGGTACTGTCGAGCTTCGCGTTCCAGGCTCGTGGAGCTTGTCGAAGCCCGTAGAGTGCCTTGTGCAGGCGCAATACTTTATTGGGGTTGTTGTTATCCAGGAAGCCAGGTGGCTGTCGGACATAAACAGTCTCCTTCAGCTCTCCGTTAAGGAAAGCAGACTTTACGTCCATATGGTGAACCTCCCAAGAGTAATGTGCTGCAATTGCAAGTAAGAAACGAACGGATTCTAACCTTGCCACTGGCGCAAATACCTCTTCGAAGTCCACTCCTTGCTTCTGGACGTAGCCCTTCGCTACCAGACGGGCCTTGTGTTTCACAACCTCTCCTTTTTCGTTGCGCTTCAGTTTGAAGACCCATTTGAGCCCTATGGCTTGGTGTCCCGGCGGCATATCCTCCAGACTCCACGTCTGATTTTCGGTGATGGATGTCATCTCCTCCTGCATTGCCTTCAGCCAGCACGGGTTCTTTTCTGCTTCGGCGAAGGTGTTCGGTTCATCTGCACTGATGGCATGTAGTTCGGCCACTTCTTCGAGCTCGCGCACTGCCAGTCCAGGTGGTTCACCTCCTCCTACTAGGTCGTCCATCCTCCGGTACCTGGCCTCCAGATCAGTATCGTGATCAGCATCCAGCGTCGAATCCGCAGTCCGTGGTGTTGCGAATTCCACTGGTTCAGGGGTTGCACCTGCTGGCGGCGGTGACGGCTGCTGATGCTGGGCTCCTCCTTCTTCCGGCTCAGTGACGAGGTACTCCACCGTGAATTGATTTGGATTATGGTCTGCCTCGATCACGTCATTCCACTGCCAGAAGGTGCTTTCATCGAAGACGACGTCGCGAGACACGTGAGCTCGCCCCCCTACAGGATCATATAGTCTGTACGCCTTGCTCCCGGGTTCATAGCCGATAAAAACGACCTTCAGCCCCCTAGGATCGAGCTTGGCGAGGTGGGGACGTGTTACCTTCATGTAAGCAACGCAGCCGAACACGCGAAAATGATGTACCGCTGGTTTTTTGTTGTACCAGGCCTCATATGGTGTCTTCCCGTCAAGGCTTCGGGTTGGTGACCGATTGAGGAGATATACGGCCGTCATTACTGCCTCTCCCCAGAATCTCCCAGGCATCCCGGCCGTCACCAACAATGACCTTGCTGTCCCGACGATGGTCTGATTCCGGCGCTCCACCACTCCGTTCTGTTGGGGGGAGTAGGGCGCCGTTAGGTGCCGTTGTATGCCGATTTCGTCACAATACTTACCGAAACTTGTCGAGGTGAATTCTCCGCCTCGGTCTGTGCGCAGCACTCGCATCTTCTTCTCACATTCGGCCTCCGCTCGCGCTTTAATGCACTTAACCGCCTCTGCCGCCTCACTTTTCGCTTGCAGCAGGGTCAGCCACATGAAGCGGCTTTTGTCATCGACTAATAGGAGGAAGAAACTCTTACCGCCTGGAGTCGCCGGCTTGATGGGCCCGCAGATATCGCCGTGTACAAGCTCCAACGGCTCATCGGCTCGATAGGATGTTCGAGACGGAAAGGGTGTGCGCCTCTGTTTGCCGATGAGGCACCCGTCGCACAGCTTGTTCACACCTTTGATTGCTGGCAAACCGTGCACTAACTCCTCCTTCTGTAGTTTTTCTAGAGCAGGAAAGTTTAAATGCCCGTACCTTGCGTGCCACCTCCAAGATACCTCTTCGATCTTGGCCGAGAGACTGACAGGTTGCTCTATCTCTAACTCCAGGATGTAAAGACGGTTTGTCGTGCGCCTTGCCTGTGTGAGCAGCCGTCGTTGATTATCGCAAATTTTGAGTAGTCCGCGCTCGATGGAGATGAAACAGCCTGTCTCATCGAGTTGACCCAGGCTCACAAGGTTAGCCTTGAGCCTCGGGATGAAGTAGACGTCGGTCAGCTTGCGATGCTCGCCTCCCTTGCTGGCGAATAGGATGGTGCCGCGTCCTTCGATCTCTACGATGGATCCGTCGCCGAATTTCACCGTCCCGCGGATCCCCGAGTCGAGTTCGGAGAATGCAGATCTAGCCCCGGTCATATGGTTTGTTGCCCCTGTGTCTAGGATCCATCGCCGGTCCTTGTGTTGCTCGTCCCGCTCGCTGATCTGAGCGAACACTCGCTCCTCCTCCAGTTGAATTGGCTCCCTAGCTGGTGCCACCTTTGCTACGCCCAGCTGAAGCTCTTTCTCGAGTTCAACATCGTTGTTGATTACCTCCATTTCCGTGGATTTGGAATCGAGAGTGGGGACACATGCACTTACCATGAAGAGAGCTGGCTCGTCCTCCTCGGATTGAGCCACATGGGCCTTTTCGGCCTTCTCCTTGTTCCTAAGCTTGCTCCAGCAGTTCCTGCTTAGGTGTCCTCTCTTCCCACAGTTCGAGCAGATTGGCCTGCCATTGGTCGACTCCTTCTTTTGATTCCCATCTTTCCCGCGCATGCGCCCGTGGGAGATCCATGGCTTCTTACCGTCTTTGCGGCTGGAGGAGGACCCGTTGCTCTGGCCGGTGTTGTCACGGAGCTTTAGACGTGCAAACCATTCCTCCTCTGTGAGGAGTAGACGACCCCCCTTGTCGACAGCTGAAATGGTATTTTTCTTCCGCTGCTCGACGTTACGCAGTCTTCCGGTCACCTCTTCTACCGTTAGGTCGTTCACGTCAAGCAATGTCTCGATTGAAATCGCAACTTGCTCGAGGTGATCAGGGACAACCTGCAGCATCTTCTTCACGATTTCTGTTTCGCTGATGCTGCCACCGAGTGTGGTGATGTTGTTGGCGAGCCCCGTGATCCGCATTGAAAAATCATCGACGGATTCACCGTCCTTAAAGTGGATCTCCGAGAGCTCCTTCCGCAACTGCTCGATGTTGGATTCCCGCACTCGCTGTACACCGACCCGACGGGATTTGATTCCCTCCCAGGCCGATTGCGCGGTGCGCTTGGTGGAGAGAGATGCCAGCATCTCTGGGGGCACAGATCGTAATATGGCGGCAAACGCCAACCGATCCTCACGGTACTCAATCGTTTCTCCTTCCTCTGGCTCAACAGCATGCCATAACCCTTGCGCCTGTAGGTTGACGCGGGCAGTCGTTGTCTCCCTGATCACTCGCTCAACGATAACTTGACGCCCGTCATCACGGCGTCGGCCTCTTCGTGGCGGCGGTGATGGAGATGTCGGCACACGGCGAGGACGTGGAGGAGAGAGTGAGCCGGCCCGAGATGGGCCCCACGATGTGTGTGTTTTTACACTTTGCATTTTCTTCTACTCGAACCTGAGACCTGTGGGATATTTGGTCAAAGCTCTAACCACTTGAGCTATTCAACTTGTTTGTTGATAGGTTGGCTCCTCTGCAATGATATACACCGATCTTCAACTTGGCTTTGATACCACTTGTTGGTTTTCACAGAATTTCGGTGAGAGGAAATTGAGAAAATGCGTAACAAAAAGGAGAGAGAAAATGTTGGTTTTCACAGAATTTCGGTGAGAGGAAATTGAGAAAATGCGTAACAAAAAGGAGAGAGAAAAATAACTCTGACTGCGTTCAGGTTGTTTTATTTTGTGAATAAATCTTCCTATTTAAAGTAAAAAGGAATTCTAAAATTGGCTGGAGAGTGGCCAACTAAATCTGTGCCACTTCCTTCTAAAACTCGGGTGATCCATTCGACGTGATTTGTCAAATGGTCAAACTCACGATTTTCTGAAATCGTGTGAATAAGAAAAACGGTAAAACAGGTTTTATCTAACAATGACTACCATTATGTACACCAAGAGAGAATACAGAGAATGAAGAAAATACGTTTTAAAAAGCACTGACTAACGGATATATGTATATGGTTTAATTTACTATATATAGCTTTAACAGATATAGTCACTAACGATATATAAATAGTCAACAAACTCTATCCCAACAGAACAAAACCATACACGACGCCGAAAAGTCGTCTCGTGCATGAGAGAATCAAAAGGAAAATAGTGTTAAATCTTCCAAAACCATTTCTAAATCAAGAAAAGAAGTCAACAAAACACACACACACACTCTCTTTCTCCTGGGCTAAGATATTTGTGAGTACAAATTATGAGTACCAAACATTTACAAATTTCATATTACCAAAATCCAGTTAAAACTCAAAAGCAAAAGGACAACTCCTTTGACCAAGTTCATGACTGAACTCTTATATCCAAATTGCTTCTCTGCTCAGGAATCTTAGCACCAGAGCTTTTTCCAGTCTCCTTCTCCTCATTTACTCTCTCCTTCACCTTGCTACCACTATTCCGACCGCTGACTTTCCCGTTGACTTTCGGAGTCATCGTAAGATTAGTCGACACTGCCCTGATACTACCGAGGCTATGTCGTTTCTCTCGAGCACATACTTTTCCCTTCTCTACATTTGAGTTAACTGCATCACCACAGCTCCTTCTCCGAGTAAAATTTGGCGACTTGGGTCGAGTCAATGGCAGCTGCAATGACCAACATGGATGAGCCAAAGGTTACGAAAAAAGTCGAGCTCTGAAACTCTCACCTTCTTGAGTTCAGCTTTGGGTGGAGGTTCCTCATAGTAGAAAGTAGGCACTGGATTTGCTTTGATGATTAAGCTCTTCCTTAGTTGCTTGATGGCTGCTTCCTGTTCTTCCTATCAACAATAAAAAGTTCTAACAGTTTCTCACGAGTTGAATCGAAATGAAAACGAATGTTCGAGAATAATGTTTCGTTCTAATCAATATTAATAGTTCACATGTTCGACTTCGTGCAACTTAGATACCTTCGTTCTAGCTTCATATTGGCTTTTCTCTGCCTGCAAAGCTTTGTGTTTCTCTTCCAACTTTTGGTAAAACTGAAAAATAAAGAATTAAGATCATCAGCTAACGAGTGATTTAACGGTGTGTAGAACGTCGAGAACGTTTGTAATAAGAAGTGTCAGTTGAGTTACCTCCTTCCTTCTCTCGGCACGACTAGCTGATCGAAATGTCGGAGCAACACAAACCGTTACCTTAGATTTCACAGAAGTAGCAGTACTAAACTTGGCTAAGGATCATTCAAGTAAAAAATGGATTGTGAACAATTTACCATGCGAAAGAAATCAATTACTGAATGTAAAAAGTATTTCGATGTCGAGATTAGGATACGAGGAAGTGATAGACCAATTATCTTCTTCGTCGTGATATTTCTTATCGAGCTGCATATGCTTCCTTAACGAAGGAGGTGAATTTGGCTGTAAACAAGAAGAAAATTTCAACCATTAATCATGACCGTCAATGTAACAATCCAAGCCCATCGCTAGCAAATATTATCCTATTTAGGTTTTCCTTCTAGCTTCCCCTCAAGGTTTTAAAACGTGTGTGCTAGGAAAAGGTTTCTACATCCTTATAAGGAATGTTTCGTTTCTCTCTCCAACCGAGGTAGGATCTCGCAATCCACCCACCTTGGAGGCTCAGCGTTCTCGTTAGCACACCGTCCAGTGCCTGACTTTAAACCATCTGTAACAGCCCAAGCCCACCACTAACCTCTTGGGGCTTTCCTTTTTGGGTTTCCCTTCAAAGTTTTAAAACGCGTCTACTAGGGAGAGGTTTTCACACCCTTACAAGAAAAGTTTCGTTTCTCTCTCCAACCGATGTGGGATCTCACAATCCACCCCCCTAGGGGCCCAACGTCCCACACCATCCGGTGCCTAGTTCTGATACCATTTATAAAAGCCCAAGCCCACCACTAGCAAATATTGTCCTCTTTGGGCTTTCCCTCAAGGTTTTAAAACGCGTCTACCATATACATGTTTCCACACCCTTACAAGGAATGCTTCATTCCTCTCTTCAACCGGGATCTGACAGCCAAACTGTTTCATTCTAGCCTCACTCTAAAAAATACTACTTAAGAAGTTCCGTTATAAATCGAGTGAGTTAGCCGACATGGCGTAGAACTCAAAGACATTTTCGGAGAGCCAGGGCACTCGAACGAGACGTGGTACAAGAAAAGGGCCAGGTCCATCAAATGGTACAACAACCAAAGTATTAAGAGAATATAATACAGAATTAGTAAAGCAACCAAAAAAACAAACAATGTCATAATAGACTTCAAACCAGATATAGGCAGGCAATTACGAACATTAGCTACCTGAGAGTTCTTCTTAGCACAAGGAGATTGCATATTTGGTGAACTGTTGACACCAATATGTGTGCACAGACCGCGCTTTTCGGTTTCCAATGAAAATGGCTGAGGAACAGTGCATTGCCCCCTCATATTTCCTGGAGATTTCGATCCAATTGGGCTCGATTTCTTGTACTCGTCGACTCGAGGCTTCTCGTATTTCTCCTCCGCATCAACATTCGTGCTTTTAGTACTCAACACCTCTTGCTTCTCTTGATATTTTTCAATGATCAAGTTTTCTTCAGTACATTCCTTCACTTCATAGTCCTTGGCCTCAATGTTTCTTCCTGCAACTCTTGGATCAACATGAACTATGTCATGAGCAACCCCGTTCGCCTTTTGTTCGACTTGTACACCACTTGGCTCCCTCCCCATGATGCTGCTGCATAAGGCGATCGGTTAACATGATTCGAGCCATGAACAAGGGTCAAAACTAAACTTAAGATCCAAGATATAATATGACAAAAACAAAAGGTCCACTTTGGGCTTTCTCTCTTGGGCGCTCTCAAACTTCTTAAAACACGTCTGCTAAGAGAGGTTTATACACCCTTATAAAAAATGTTTCGTTCTACTCCCCAGAATGAAATATTATTCATTATCCACCATTAACATTCAAAAGGGAAGAGAATCCAATCCAAGTAGAGACCAATTTTACAGTCACATTATCACAAGAAGTTCAAATTCTCCAAAAGAAAAGTAGAGAAAAACATTAAAAAATGACCAAAGTTTCAGTCCAAAAAGATCTAAATTACCTCAGAGAACCAAAAATTTGAGCAGAGACAAGAGAAAGAGTAAAACCCCACCAAGAAAAAGTAGACAAAAATCAAATAGAACCCAAGAACAACTCCATAGATGACCAAAATTTCAAACAGAAGCAAAAGAGACTGAAAACCCACCAAGAAAACAGAGATGAACATGAAATAGGACGACAATTTAGATCAAAAACTCAGACTCACCAAACAAAACCAGAGAGAGCAACAATTAGAACATAAACAGCAGAGAGAGTAGAAACCCACCAAGAAAATAGAGACAAACATGAGTTAAATTAGAACAGAAATGAGAATAGATCGAAACCCACCAAGAAAACAGAGGCAAACATCAAACAGAGTGGGCGAAAAAGCTCAAAATCAAAAGAAGAAGTGATTAGAGAGAGAACCCATCATTCAAAAGAGCTCAAAAACCAAAAGTAAAGAAACAAACACACATTTTAGGAATGGAAAATCACAGACCTGAAGTATTAGAATGAGAGATAATGTAGAAGATTGAGTAGCGATTATAGCTCGATCTAACAAGATCTTTAACCTCACCCCCCACCCCCCGCCCCCCTCCCCCTCTCTCTCTCTTCTCTCAAGGAATCTCCCTTTTCTCCTCTTCCCTTCCTCCTCTTCCCTTCCTCCCTCCACTCTCAATAACAAGACAAACCAAAGGAAAAAAAAAAGAAATGTTCTGCTTTTTTTTCTTTTTTTCTTTTCAATTCCTAGTCAAAATTGTAAATGACGTTCTCCCAAAACTGGTATCGAACCGTGGGCGGTGGCTTCCATGTATATAACCTTCGAATCTATAGCTCGATTACAAATATAAATATTTTTTTTACCATTAAGTAAGATAGGATTGAATTGTAACCGTGGATTGGTCGATCAAAATATTAATTTTTTATGTTTTTATTTTTATTTATTATTTTTTTTTCTTTTTTGGGTTCAGAAGATAAGTAACGGCGGGGCGTTAAGTTGAACGGCAGAAAATTTGAAACGGGGTGGAGGCAAGAGAAGAACGGAGTCTGTTGGGACGTGGGGCCCACCTGCAAATGTCAAATTGGCCACGAATCAGATTTGTTTGGAGAACCCTCTATTTTGATTCGACATACAATAATATTTTTTATTTTAATTTTTTTTTTCTTTTTTTCAAATTTAATAAGGTAGAAAATTAAATCAATTTTTAAAATGGTAATTTTGAGTTATTTTCGAATTAAATTCTTTTGGCTGAATTTTACAAAAATAAATAATAATAAATAACGATTTTGGATGATTTCTGTATGTTTTAGGCTTAATATTTTAATTTGTTACGATAACCCTCCAATCAAATATTTTTTTATACAGTCTTATTATAGTGATTGACTAAGAGCTCAAACGGTGGTGTGATAGAGAAGTTTAGTTACTTAACTCTAAAACCACTAGTTAAAACTCTGTCCAAACCTCAACTTTTAAGGTTATGACTCGGGGTCTCATCTAACTTCTATTAAAGTTGTCTATGACCCCACTAACGAAGTGACAAGGTTAACTTGACAATCTTTGTCATTCTTCTTGATATGATAGATGATGTATCGTGTTCTTCGGTTACATCATGACACTGATCTCTCTCAACCCATGACATAGCCTAATAGACAACATTCGTATGCTATAATTACTCTTGTTCCTAATATAGGAGTGGCAATCATTCCATCCTTCATCAGTTGAAATTTTAAAATCAAATGTGTTCTTGAACTTATAACTTGAATAAACAAAGTGAGCTAATAATGGGTCAACTCCGACTCGCTCACCAATTAGGACTAGCACGAGTCTTAGGCAAAAAATTAGGGTCATTGTTGATTAGATCTTGTGACAATTCTTGTTCTTGTGTCCCTTGACAAAGACATGAGTGTGGGCAGGGCAAAGAAGCTGACCTAACCTCTGCCCATATTATTCAGATCCGACATTTTAATTTCTAATTATTTTTATTTTTTTCTTTTTGTGTATATTCAAGAAATTTAATATAAAGAGGACAAACAAAAAAGCATCCAAGGAATTATTATTTATTATCATTATTATTATTATTATTTGATAGAATGACCCAAGAATTACCTAACGGATGTGAATGCCATAAACCTCTATGAAGGTTGAGTTTCTCATGGGCCCCACTTGCTATATTGATACATGCTCCAAGTTGGGGTTCTGTCTGTGATATTCCACAAACGGCTCTAAAATTAAGTCTCTATAAGTAAAATATGTAAGCTTGCTAAATTTGGTGTTACTTGAACGTCAAACAGATAGACGATTCAGGTTGGTTTATAATTCCTTGTTAATTTCCACGTTGGGGAGGGCGCTGTGTTGATTGTCCACCACTCGAGGCCTATGTGAGCTACTCTGTGGTACATAAGTGTTTCATGATGTGGGCGAGAATGGTAAGATGAGTGTCATGGGTATTTTCCTTTTGTATCAAGTGTCATGGATGAGTTAACAGTGCATCGCGTTGCATTGGAGGTTGCAGTATAGGGTAGACTTCTGCCCAATGTAATTTCCTTTTGATGAATGTACTCGAAGAGCTACGAATGTGGCTGATATCACAAGGCTGAAGATAGTATCACGAAGCATTAATGAAACTAAATAGTGTTTTATTCCGATACTTGATACTTAAATGATAAATATTATATGTTTAGCTTACGGAAAAAATTTAAATAAATTTACGAAAATTAAAAAAAAAAAAAAGTTAATAAAGACTACACAAAATGAGTAAGTAATTAATATTCTATTTTGATTTAGTTAGAAATTTATTTGGAGTTGCCTTGCAGTTATTTACTTTCTTTTTTTGATCCTACAAAATTTATTTATTTCATTAACTACCATTTATTATTGTGAAGTAATTTCCCTTAATTTATTACGACATGTCGTTACAATTTAAGTTCAAATTTTTATTTTTTTAAATTAAGTAATAATCTTTCTTATGAAATAAAATGATAAAATAAAACAAATTTAATTAATTAAAAAAAGAAAAAAAAAATCAATTTTAATCTTAATTTTATAAAGGGTAATAAAGTAATTTTGAAAAGAAATAAATCCATAGTAATTAATTTGAAAGCTGAAAAAGTGTGACAGTGAGCTTAATAAATGCTCTTTTTTTTTTATTTAAATTCGAAGACTAGTGGTCGGAGATTCTTCTTAAATTCTCCATTTCTACACTCTTTCCCATTTTACCCCTTTGGCTTTTTCTCATTTTATTTTACTTTTTCTTTTCCATTTTCCATAAGTTTCTTGAACAAAAATCACAACAATATCAATAGAAGATAAAAAAAAAAAAAAAAAAAAAAAAAAAAAAAAAAAAAAAAAAAAAAAAAAAAAAAAAAAAAAAAAAAAAAAAAA